TAGAAAAAATTAGCCGGGCATGGTGGCGCATACCTGTAGTCCCAGCTACTCGGGAGGCTGAGGCAGGAGGATCGCTTGAGCCCAGGAGTTTGAGGTTGCTGTGAGCTAGGCTGACGCCACGGCACTCTAGCCCGGGCAACACAGTGAGACTCTGTCTCAAAAAAAAAAAAAAAATAGGAAATAGAAGCATAAGGAAACTAGATCATAAGGTTCCCAATTCTTCACTGAGGTGGAATAGCTAAGCAGTGGCTAAGAGCTTGAGTTTTTGTTGTCAGATTCCACTTCTACCATTAAATGTTCTCATCAGTAAAATGGGGGAGAAAGAACAGTACTCATTTCACACAGTTGCTATGAAGATAAAATGAGAAAATATGTAAAGTGCTTGACACTTTGGAAATGTTCAATAAATACGGCCACTATTATTATCACAACTTTCAAATCATTATTCATATAGTTTGCAGGAATAAACTTTTTATTAAGTGAATTGCTCTCTGGGACCAGCACACTACGGAGAAATATCAAGACTAACAATCTGCCTGGGGACTCTATCTCTGGAGGAGAAACAGACTACATTTGGGGTAGTAAGTCAGAGTTCTAAACTTTCTTACACCATCTTTCATACAAATCTTTAAGTGATAATATTGCACCCTCAACCTAGAGTTTTAATTATAAATTCCACTCTCATTTCACTAAACTCTAGTACCGTACCATAGTGCTTACTCTAACTCGACAACAAGTTTGGTATAATTTTCATTGTCTGAGACTTTATTTTTTTTAGAAATGGGATCTCACTCTGTCACCCAGGCTGGAGTGCAGTAGCATGATCATCGCTCACTGCAGCCTTCAACTCCAGGGCTCCAGCGATCCTCATGCCTCAGCCTTAGCCTCCTGAGTTGCTGGGATTACAGGTGTGAGCCATTGCACCCAGCTGTCTGAGACTTTAGGAAAGACACTTCATTGGTTGTATCTTCAAGGCTGATCTACTGAAGTATCACACCAAATGCTTGGGGTCAAAGTTACTTTACTAGTGCCAGAGAAAAGACAAAGATTCAAAAAGAATGGAGAAACAAGTGTGTGTCAATAAAGAATTGACACATACTTCCTTCTTTCCACCAATTGTGTCCTCTAACTCTGTGGTCCCCAACCTCAGGGCCACAGAGCTCTGTCACAAACCCCCTCCCCCCCAGCCATGGAAAAATTGTCTTCCATGAAACTTGGGGGGGGGGGGATGTGCACAGCAGGGGGTGAGCGTGCAAGGGAGGCTTCATCTGTATTTACAGCTGCTCCCCGTCACTCTCATCACCACCTGAGCTCCGCGTCACCCTAGCCCCTGTGGAAAAATTGCCTTCCACGAAACGGGTCCCTGGTGCTAAAAAGGTTGGGGACCGCTGCCCTAAACTCACCATGGATTAAGGATTAAGGATAGCGGCTGCCCTCCACTATAGTTCGATTTACTGACATTAATCCCTATAAATCATTTTGCAATACTCCTTAACATTGTCCCAGAATCTCAGGGGTCTTGCAAAAATCAAAGTGGAAAGTAATCAGTCTATGCTGCAGTCCCCAACCCCTGGTACCAGTCCGCGGCCCATTAGGGACCAGGGCGCTGAGCCCCGTTGCCACACCCCACCCTGCCAACTATGGAAAAATTGTTTTCCATGAAATCCGTCCCTGGTGCCAAAAAGGTTGGGGACCCATGTTCTAACTTCTCTTTTTCTATGTTTCCATAAGTAAATGAAGATTCCTTATTAGGCACAATAAATTATCTTGGCAATTATAATCCCTTTATTGATGATATAAACCCAGACAAATACTCTATCTGTAATAAGAACATATAACAAGAAACATGATGGCCATGCCCAAAGTCAACAGTTTAGGTTATAACAAACTTAATAAAATAAACTGCAAACAGAAAAATTGCTCCCCTAACAATGTAAGCCAACCATTTACCAATGTAATTTACTCCATGGGATCTTTATCTCCCTGCCTGCTTTCTTTTTCTGTCAACAAACATTTTTATATACCTACTATGTACTTGATAAAATGAGAAAGGACAATCTCTGCTTTTAAAAGCTCTCATGGTCGGCGGGGGGGAATGGATGAATCAAACTGATAATTATAATACTGTATAACAAACATTATGACAGAGGCGTGTACAGGATGCAATGCAGACACAGAGAACAGTTGTCGTTGCGATAGTTTTCAGGAAAATGCTTTTCCATGCTTTTTTAAAAAATTTATTTTGAACCCTATCTGTATCATTTTATCTACTTCTTTAAAATTTTTTTTCTTCAAAGCTTACTAGGCAATCAGTGACTTTGTCTTTCACCCTGCAAAATTCATACCATCAGGTGGCACCAAGAACCTATTTAATCATTAAAAAAATACATAAATGCCAGTTTTTGTAGACTTGGTCTACAGTTTGAGTTAATTTATGACCATTGATGGTTTAGTTCAGATTAATTATTGAAGAAGTTACAATGTTCTCCTCAATCAGCTATAACAACTGAAATAAACAAATCAGTCCCATGATTCTTCTTATTTTCAGTCACTCTCCCAAAGGGATTCATTCTGTTGACATGGCTCTTAATTATGATGATACATTTCTTTGCAATCCACCTGCATTATTTCATTCAAAGTGAATGTACTAGCTTTAAGAAAAACTGGTCTTACCCTAGGTTTGTTCGTATTACGTACCTAGAACTAACTCTCAGCAAAGACCTAAGAGGCAGAGTTTGGGCTTTTATAATTCTACTGCTTCCCTCAGAAGCAGCCCTCTGGACCTGCCTTATCCAAGAGGTCTTGTCTGAAGCTGGGTTCCTCTGGGCTTTGTTTGTTTATTGTCTCTCAATTTTAGTAAAGTACTGATGTCAGACAGGGCTCTACATTTTGGTATGCATCTCTAGGATAGGGAAAATGGTTTAGAAAATCAGATAGCCCGGGGTTTCAAACCTGACTTTAAATCTTAGGAGCTGTGTGTGATTTTACCACTCTGAGCCTCAGTTTCCTTATTGTAAAATGGTGAACAGTGACATTTCCCTTGCGGAGCTGTTGCAGAATTGCAATTAGATAATGTTTGTAAATCACTTAGGCTGTGTTTGGCGCATGGCAAGCATTTTAAAACTTCTATTTAATAGATTCTAGTAATAGCTTTCCTACCAGTGTCAAGTCTTGAAGGTTTACGTTTAAAAAAAAAAAAAAGGTGACATAGACCAGCAAAATTGTGTTTGTATGTATAATTTTCTGAGAGGGTACATTAGTTTTCATAAGATTCCTAAAAGATTTCTGTCTAAAAATTAGTTAAGTGTAGAACCAAGGGAAAAAAAACTTGGAAGTAAAAACTGGTCTGTAACCATGAGAAACTAAATAAACATTAAGTACAAAGATCATGTTTATTCCCAAATAACTCCTCCAAACAGATTTCCCACTGCAGTTTCCCACCAGGGGGTCAGGGGACAGAGGAATGCATGCTACCCATCTTCTTATCTAGGATAAGACAACTAACTATCCAGGAAGTGATGCATTTTTTTTCCTGTTCAAGTTTTAGAATCAATCAAATCCATATTTAAAATATTGCTCCGTTATTATAAACTGTGTGATTTTAAGTAACATAACCCCTTTGAGTATCAGTTTCTTCAAGTATAAAGTGGGCATAAGAACAGTACCTACCACAGCATCTGTTGTGAAAATTCAATAAAATAATGTATATACAATATTTGGCACAGAGCCTGGCCTATTTAGCATTCAAGTTTTACTTATGTATTTATGTATTTTGCTATTATTCTCATCAATTCCTGGCTATTTACACTCCCAATTTGGGAAGATAACTTTCCAGGGTGCTTAGTAGTGAAAAGTGAGGGATAACGATTTCTGTAATTCTTTTGATGCTCCTGGCAAGGAACTAAAGACAGGGATCCCTGGGCAAGACAAAGGGGACTTATGTAAAACGATGGACAAAGCTAGCTTTACAAATAATCAGAACAGATGACTTCAATGTAGTGTTCTTTGTAGGGGGCTGGAAAAGCCCACCCAGCTGCCTAAATTTCTTTCGCTGTGTCATCCTGTCTGAAATTCCATCTTTAGAAATCCTGCCAATTCCTTTGGATCACTAAGAGCTCCCGAGAGGATACCAACACTCCTGAGAGGTCCATCACCTCTCTTTATTGAAACCCCCTACCCCCGGAGTTAGCCAATAAAGGCTCAAGGTGGTAGCCCTCTCTGGAGTGCTAATTCCTTCACAAGGGAGGAAGACTGAGACGCTCCCACCTTCAAGACTGGGCAGACCCTAGTAGGGTGGGAGTTAGGGTAGGGGAACTTAGAGTTCCTCGTGAGGGACAAAAGCCCAGAAGGAGAGTTCTCTAAGACAGAGTAAAGCGGAGAGGGGAAATGGGACAGAAAGCGGAGCCAGAAAGATGTGGGAAGAGAGCCAAAGAGAGACTTCCCTTTTCTTCTGCAAATGCGGGAGGGGGGATCCAGAGTTCTTTCCAGCTCCGGAGGAGCGGGCCGCCCCTGGGTGGGCGAGGGCTGGGTGGAGGAGGTGGCCTCCGAGGGGGTGGGGCGGGAAAGAAGGGGAGTGGGCAAGGGGTGAAGACGCGAGGGCGCCCGCTCCACTGCTCCCTGGTTGCCAGTTCCTTCTGTGTTTCCTCGTCCGCGTGCACGACACGAGATAACGAAGCGCTGGCCCAGAGCCTGGCATCTGGCGACCGCGGGATAACGCGGGCCTCCGCCACTGTACAGAGCATCGGAAACGCCCCGTGCCACTGGCACTGCCACTGTGGGCCGGGCTTTGCACCCCACCACCCCTAAATCGTGACCCCCCAGCTTGCGAAACAGGGTTCATTGTTCTCAGCTTAGGAGTGAGGAGACTGCGGCTTTGAGAAGAGCTCACGCAGCCCAAAACAGCGGAGACCAGCCTGGAACCCGGTTGTTAGACAGCGGAGCTCACGCTGCGGGCTGGGGCTCGGTCCCCAGGGGAGGGATGAGGGGCGCGCGGAGCTCACCATTGAAAGAGCTGGGGGCCCGCCGGGCTTCGGTGTCCATTGTGTGACGTTTCTCAGCCATGCTGCCGGAGCCGGAGTCGGGCTGTCAGCGAGGGCCCGCGGATGCCAGAGCCGCCAGGAATGCCCGGAGGGGCCAGGGGAGTAGAGACTCAGGCTGCAGCCCCGCCCCCTTAGGCCCCGCCCCTCCCCGCGTCTCCGCCAATCCACGCCCAGGATCGAGGAGGACACGCCCCCCATCCTCCGCCTGCGGATCTCCTGCGCGGAGCTCTGCGTCCGCTTCCCGCTCTGTCCGCAAGCTGAAGGGTGGGGCCTGAGGGGCGAGGTGCCCCCAGAGGCTGGGGTTGGGGCCGAGCGGAGGCTCCGGAAGGGAGAGGCGGCCACAGGGTGTAGTGCGGGGACTGAGGGTGTTGCGGAGGCGGCCCAGAGGATGGCCTGGGGGAAAAGTGCGAGTAAGGAAAAGTTGTCTTAGTGGGTAGAGGTGTTAGATCCCGGCGCCCTCTCTAGGCTGAGGAATCAGAGGGAAGAAAATGGCGCCCTCTCTTGACGGGGTGGGTCCCGAGTTGAGCGGAGAAGGCTGAGGGGCACCGAAGCGGCCAGGGCGAGGGCCCTGTGGCCTGCCTGACCTGAGTGACATGACCACCCCCCAGCAGAAGCGAACGAGTTCCAGTGAGGTGCATTGATTGAAACAAAATCCTTTTGGAGCACCTGCGTCCGACAGGCGGTGTGCTCACAATTGGGGATGCAGCAGCCTCGGCAGGCACGGCCCGCCCTCATGGCGTCTGCGTACTCTCGTGGGGAGCCAGGCAACAAACAGGTAAACGAATCAGTACACCTGGTGAAGGCGCTGTGAAGGGCATGGAGTATTCAGAGAGTAGCAAAGGGGATCTGCTTTACTTGGGGAGATAAGGGAAGGCTTCTGAAAGGAGGTGGCCTTGAGATGTCGCCTGAAAGATGCGAAGGAGGCAGCCAGCCTTGGGAAGGGGGACAGGTGGTGCGGGAGGTCGGAAAGGGTGTCCCAGGCAGAGGGAAAAGCTTATGCGAGGGCATCCCCAACCTCGAGGCTTCTCTTGGGTTGGGGTGAAAACCTCACATTTGAAAACTGCTCTCTGTTTTATTCTCCATGACTTGACTTGTCTAATGCAGAATGTTCAAAGTCTGTTAACTGTACACAAGAAGGCGCACTTTAAAAAACATTTTATTTTGAAATAAGTACAGATTCACAGGAAGTTGCAAAGACCTTGAGAGAAGTCACATGTGCCTTCTACTCAGTTTCCCCCCAGTAGTTACATTTTACTTACCTGTAGTATCAAAACCAGGAAATTGACAGTGGCACAACGGGTACATATAGTTCTATGTCCTTTTAATCACACGTGTAGATTCATGTAAGCACAGCAATCAAGATATAGAACTATTCCATCACCACCAAGATCTCCCTCGTGAGAAACCCTTTTCTTCTTCTTTTTTTGAGAGAGAGTCTCACTTTGTTGCCCGGGCTAGAGTGAGTGCCTTGGCATCAGCCTAGCTCACAGCAACCTCAGACTCCTGGGCTCAAGCAATCCTCCTGCCTCAGCCTCCCGAGTAGCTGGGACCACAGGCATGCGCCACCA